CTTATGATTTCATTCTTATTATATGTTACCTCTCCGTCTGGTTTCTTTATTGCATATATTTGATTTCTCCCTATTCCTAGTCTCCTATTAGCTGTTTTCATGCTGGTGCCTGAGATCACTGTTTCATTCATTATTTGAGTATTGAATTTCCGTACATCTTCTCTCTTCTTTTTATTTATAGGTTTTGTTAGTTCAGCTAATTCTATTTTGTCCCTATTTGACGATGCTTTCATAACCCTACGTTTTTGCATAAGTTGTTTAGTTTCCATCGAGAGCTTACTGGAGCTTTGTTTGACGTTCTTACCGGCTACTTCAAGTGCAGCTTTCTTTATTATGTTATTGAACTGTTTGTTGATCTGATCAATGTTGAGATCCTCATCACTGAGAAGTGAATATGTGTTTTGGATCTTAATGCTAAAGTCTGTCGCTTTGGTCTTCAATTTAGCTAAGTTTGGCTGTATATATATATATATATATATATATATATATATATATATATATATATATATATATATATTTATATATATATGTATATATATGTGTATATATATATATATATATATATATATATATATATATATATATGTGTGTGTGTGTGTGTGTGTGTGTGTGTGTGTGTGTGTGTGTGTACACATACATCTACATATATCTCTCACACACACACACACACACACACACACACACACACACACACACACACACACACACACACACACACACACACACAGATATATATAGATAGAAAGATATATAAATATATATATATATATACACATGTCTATCTATCGATTTATCTGTCTATCTATATATCTATATATATTTACACACACACACACACACACACACACACACACACACATACACACACACACACACACACAGACACACACACACACACACACATATATATATATACAATCATATAATCAATAATAATGGCAGACAAGAAAGGTCTAAGTGCTTTGGTGCAGTCCCACCATTAGCTCAAACTCCTTTGTATCATCCACTGCATATCTCATCTGTGTCTCGCTAAGTTCATGAATATCCTGTACCAGTCTGATGTAACCGCAGACAATTTCACACTTCCTGCCTTGGGATCCGATCGTTCGCTTTCTCTAGATCAATGAAGATGCAACGCAACTCTTCGTGCCCCTCTCTGTACTTCTCCATGACTTGATGGAGTGTAAATATTACTTTCGTTATGCTTCTACTGGGAATGAAGCTGAATTTCTTCTCCGATATCTCCACCCTATTCCTTAGCCTCTTGTCTAAAATTCTTTCCCACATCTTTAGCGTGTGTGAGATAGTGTCCACATTCCTGGATGTCACCCTTATTCGTAAATAATGGTATTAGAGTGCTAGCTCTCCATTTATATGGCATATCTCCATGATTTTTCTGAACACTTCCATCAGTCACTCTGCTGCCGTTCTTCCCATAGCCTTCCACGCTTCCACTGGTATGTCATCCAGTCTTACCACTTCTCCCCTCCATCCATTTCATCTCTCACTTCCTCTACCTCCCTTTCCTTTGCCGCTTCTATATCCTGTTCTACCCTTGGGTTCTCTATATTCATCAGTTGTTGATAGTATTCCTTCCACCTCTCCCTTATTTGTATGTCTTCTGTTAGTACGTGTTCTTCACTATCTTTCACTTTTTTTGCTTGGTACAAGTCCTGTGCTTCCTCGTTCACTATCCTAATAGATTTTCTTTGACCGCCTTGCCCCTTTAGGCTACAAATCATCGTACAATCTACTTTTGCCCTCCGCCCTTTCTCTCTTAGTTTTTTTATTTTTCCATTCATAGGCTGCAATAGTCTCCTCGTACCTGTTTAGATTTCTTTCCACTTTCCTCTCTTTCTTATCATTGATCACTTCGTGTACCTCGGTACACCACCACCAAGTCTCCTCTTTCTTCTTTTTCTTTCCCAAAGTACATCCTAGTACTTCTTCTCCCATTTCCTGTACTACATTACTCCATGTTTTCTGCTCTTCCTCTACCAGTTTCTTTTCCACTTCCTGGACAAACCTAAGCTGATGTTACTCTTTGTTCAATTTCCACCAGCAAGTTTTATATGTTCTGTTTCGTTATTCTCCGTTGTTTCATACTTACTTAGCAGACCACCAGCTTACGCTGCTTGGTAACAGATTCTTTGGGTAGGACATGGCAGTCCTTTACTTTCTGTAATAAAGGACTGCACAAAATGTAGTCAACTTGTGTGCTTTGCTCACCACTAGTATAGGTTGCTCGACGAGTCAGTCTTTTCTGGAAGTAGGTGTTGACTACTGTCATGCATTTTGCTGTTGCAAAGTCCACAATTTTGTCTCCTCCTTTATTCTGTATTCCAACTCCGTAATTTGCTGTACCTTCTGTATCAAGGCTCCCTTCCCCAACGTGACCATTAAGGTCCTTCTCGATCCACACCACCTCCGTATCCGACATTTTCGTCATCACGCCCCTGAGCTGATCCCAGAAGTCTTTTTCCTCTTCTGTACACCCCAT